AAATTGTTCGCCTAGTGTCGATTCAGGTTACGGACATAGTGGTTTGTGGGATTATCAAGAGGAAATCAGTGGCACACTCTCAAAGGAAGGCAAACTCAATACGGCATGCAGACGTTATCAACTGTAACATTTAGATGAGCACATGGCAAAAGAAAGAAAATGGTTGAAAGTCTAATAACAGAGTGGAATCAGAACATTAGAGCTAGAACTTGTGAAACCATTAAAAGACAAAAGTAAACTTAGGTGTTAAGAACCCATTCATATCAATTTTAACCTCCTGAAAGCCAGCCATGAGTACATGTAATTGGAGTCAACCTCATGTCCCTACCACCTACGCATTATTAAGTTCCCCACCACCCTAATATCATCATCTTCTTCTACTAAGCCTCAATAATTTGTTTCCAACCACAAACCATGTCCTCCTTTTCTAATCCCTAAGAAATAAAAATGGAATAACACAATTCATCATACTATAAATTTACCCTTCTTTAAACGTGATTAAAAACTATCATTCTACCACAAATTTCTTAAGAAAGAACCATATGTCCAGCAACTTCATTCTGCATCCACATTCCATTTTTTGTACACTGTCTAGTGCTTACCACTGCCCGGATGAAGCTTAATTCCTAGTATTGTTCAATATCCATGAACCGAGAAAGAACAAAGTATACTAAAAAAGCACAATTTGCAAAATATGTCAAAAATCAAAATAGAGAATACAATAAATCATACACATACCAATGCCAATCCCGAGCAAGAAGCAAACTTGGGGAGTAACGGTGACAAGTATTCCGCCAAATAACTCGTCGAATACCCATAGAAGTTGTTAGCAGCTGCCACTCCATTCGAAGCAAAAAAATTCGATTCCAAGGAGCTCAATCCACGACCACTGCTTATCAGAATTGCCCTAGTTAAATTAAAATCAACAACCTTTGAGGTGCTGAAAGTGTGCCTAGCAACCAATCGAACTCTCCCACACAACGATTGCATTTCTCAACATAAAATCTACATTTACAAAAAAAAAAATTACTATTTCAAGTTGTTGAAGTAGTTTAAAAAATGCACAAATCCAAGCAGAAATGAAGCCGAAATTGGTACGTCTGAAACAATTCCGTGATTTGATTCAACACTAAATAGCTCCTAACATAAATCTACGTATGTATATATATGAGCATCATCAATATGTGTGTGTGTGTAGGGTTGAGGAGAGAGAAGAGCAGCTGAATGTAAGTGGTCGGCGTCTATTACCGTCGGGAATCGACGGCCGTCGATTCCCGACGGTAATAGACGCCGACCACTTACATTCAGCTGCTCTTCTCTCTCCTCAACCCTACACACACACACATATTGATGATGCTCATATATATACATACGTAGATTTATGTTAGGAGCTATTTAGTGTTGAATCAAATCACGGAATTGTTTCAGACGTACCAATTTCGGCTTCATTTCTGCTTGGATTTGTGCATTTTTTAAACTACTTCAACAACTTGAAATAGTAATTTTTTTTTTTTGTAAATGTAGATTTTATGTTGAGAAATGCAATCGTTGTGTGGGAGAGTTCGATTGGTTGCTAGGCACACTTTCAGCACCTCAAAGGTTGTTGATTTTAATTTAACTAGGGCAATTCTGATAAGCAGTGGTCGTGGATTGAGCTCCTTGGAATCGAATTTTTTTGCTTCGAATGGAGTGGCAGCTGCTAACAACTTCTATGGGTATTCGACGAGTTATTTGGCGGAATACTTGTCACCGTTACTCCCCAAGTTTGCTTCTTGCTCGGGATTGGCATTGGTATGTGTATGATTTATTGTATTCTCTATTTTGATTTTTGACATATTTTGCAAATTGTGCTTTTTTAGTATACTTTGTTCTTTCTCGGTTCATGGATATTGAACAATACTAGGAATTAAGCTTCATCCGGGCAGTGGTAAGCACTAGACAGTGTACAAAAAATGGAATGTGGATGCAGAATGAAGTTGCTGGACATATGGTTCTTTCTTAAGAAATTTGTGGTAGAATGATAGTTTTTAATCACGTTTAAAGAAGGGTAAATTTATAGTATGATGAATTGTGTTATTCCATTTTTATTTCTTAGGGATTAGAAAAGGAGGACATGGTTTGTGGTTGGAAACAAATTATTGAGGCTTAGTAGAAGAAGATGATGATATTAGGGTGGTGGGGAACTTAATAATGCGTAGGTGGTAGGGACATGAGGTTGACTCCAATTACATGTACTCATGGCTGGCTTTCAGGAGGTTAAAATTGATATGAATGGGTTCTTAACACCTAAGTTTACTTTTGTCTTTTAATGGTTTCACAAGTTCTAGCTCTAATGTTCTGATTCCACTCTGTTATTAGACTTTCAACCATTTTCTTTCTTTTGCCATGTGCTCATCTAAATGTTACAGTTGATAACGTCTGCATGCCGTATTGAGTTTGCCTTCCTTTGAGAGTGTGCCACTGATTTCCTCTTGATAATCCCACAAACCACTATGTCCGTAACCTGAATCGACACTAGGCGAACAATTT